TGTTTGTACATGAGATTAAACTTTGGTCAAATCATCTTCTAGAGAGTTGTGAAATATTTGTTCACATCGTTTAACAGCCTTAGAATTTGACTATGGAATCTATGTTGAAACCAACTTTTTACCATTGAATTTGGCTATGGAAATCTGTTTTGTTCAACCCACTTGGATGACCTTTACTAAAGGAGTTGTTATTTTATTTTAATCCATATTTCAAGAATGATGTCTTATGAAACTTTTACTATAGAAGTTAGTAGACCTGTCAATGGATCGGATTCGGATCGGATCGATCAAATCCATATCCTATTTGTTAAGCAAACGAATTATCGGATTCGGATTACTAACGAATTCTCGGACTGAATGTCCCAATCCATATCCTATTTAGCTCGGACTCGGATCGGATCGGATTCGAAATCAGATTAAATTAATATTTACTAATATATATAATTATAAAGAGTATGATTTTATTAATACGTGTACTAAGAGATTTATTAGCATATGGATGAGAACACTACAATATTTATATATGATATTGTTATTATTTTGAATTTTTGAGTTGCCTCTAGTACAATTCTAATAGGAGTATTGATATATATATGTGTAAAATTATTGATAAATAATTATATATATATAATTTCAATCGGATCAGCATAATCCATATCCGATTTGTTAAGTTAACGGATTATCGGATTCGAATCGTAACCGGATTATCGGATTTTTTGTTTAATCCATATCCGACTAATCGGATCGGATTCGGATCGGATCCGGATTAGGATCCGCTTTATTGACAGGTCTAGAAGTTAGCAATAATACGAAGGATATGTACTTTCAAATAATGCTATAATTAAATACTGATATTTAATCTCCCAAATCTAGTTTTAATATAATTTTATTAGTGTCATAAAATAATTTTGTTCTAGTTTTAATATATATTTACAAGACAAATAAAGAGTTATATTCAAACCAATATCATAACTATGAAAAATTAACACTTCTTAAAAGTTAAGAATTTTAAAATTGCTCTTAGGTCTGTTTTCAGAACAACTAATACAATTCTTGTTAAACGTTGGCTTATAATGTTGTATCGCAGGATTGTATTAGTAATTATATTAATAAATAATGTTTCATTAACTGAGAAAAAAAAAAAACTAATAGTTTAAACTTGCAACCATAAAATTAATATTTGATTTAGAGAAAACTATGTTCTTTAATTCAGTTAAGAACTAAGATTCATAAAGTATTTTTATATACTAATTAATTATAAATTGAAATATCTATATATATATATATATATATATATATATATATTGGAAACTTTTTACATAAGTATATATATTGATATAAATATTTTTTGTTATTGAACATTTTTATTTACAAATCTAAATATGTAATAAAAAGAGTGTTATTTGTTGATGGCACATAAATAAAGCTAATTTTGTAATCAGGGCCCAAAAAGTAATAATATTTTATTTTATGTTTATTAAAAAAATTAGATTATTATAATATTTTTAAATTTTGTTGATATGATGATCATATTACAATGTAGTTAATTTCAGCAATATTCTACTACGAACATTTAGAAGTATCAAATTTAAAGTCTGAAAAATAAAGAAGTTGTTATTATTTTAATTTGTTTTTTATTTTGGAAATCCAAGCATTATTATTTTAACAAATTGATTATTGAAATGGTCACCAAGTGATATGTGTTACTTTCATGTCCCTCAAGACACACTAACATGTATTTCTTCACCAATGTTAGGATCAAAATTTTAATTAATAAAATATTTAGATCAAATTGTACTGAATCAGTATTTTAATTTGTGATAAGATGAATTTAATTTAAAATTTTAATTAATAAAATATTTTTAGTTACATCAAGACTATTTACTATTCTAAAACCTTCTACTATTTATAAGGATATAGAATGACTCCAATATTCTAGAATAAAACACACGTGCACGTGAACAAATATATAATAAAAATAATAATTATGTAGCTAATAGAGTTTAGAATTTCATTAGTACGTAATTGATATAAATTTTTTAACATAAATATAAGAATAAATATGCATATATAATTTCTTAACGTGGTTGATAGAGTTTAGAATTTTATTAATAATTGATATACAGTAATATTTAGAAGTAAAGAACTGTTTTTAGATATTTATTGAAATACAGTATAATTATAAAACTTAAATATAAGAATAATTTTGTAAATAGATTTCTTAAGAGTATGATAGAGTTTAGGATTTTATTAGTATTGATGCAAAATTCAGAACGACCTGAAACGACACTGTATCCTTACAACACAAAGGGAAATCTTGACGGATTTTGGTGTGGTGCATGTCAAGAACTCTCCGACGATCAAGTCAGTCGTTAAAGGTCAATAATAAAAGCAAGAATTTAATATTTATTTTTCTCGTACCTTGTCAATTTACCAACTTGTCATTTATAGCCGATGTGCTGATTTGAATTAGTTATCAAAGAGGGATTTGAAGACGTCGTATCATTTCATTTTTATCTTCTTCAACCGTCCGTGAGAGTTTGAATTTTGAAGACCACCATTCAAATTTAAATTAATCAACCTAACATCTTATCCTTATCAGTTGTCCCCATTCTTGTCCTTGCTTGTCAAGTATGAAAATGCTGACACTTTTTAGAAGCTTCATGACAATTGTATGTTCTTTTCATGCATGAATGATTGCCTCTTTCTCCACTTTTAATAAGAAAGTTTACATTTATGTGTTTCAAATAAACAAACTTGCCTTTTAATGGGGTAACAAGTTTTATTAGTTTTATTTAGCTTGCCCTTTGATAAGTAAATATATTTTACGAACTTGACTTAGTTCGTCCTTTAAGAAAGAATGGATTTAACGAGCTTTACTTAGCTCGTCATTTAATAAAGGAATGGATTTAATGAGCTTCACTTAATTCGCCCTTTAATAAGGGAATGAATTTTACGAGTTTTACTCAGCTCGCCCTTTAATAAGGAAATAAATTTTACGAACTTCACTTTTTCCAAGCTTTGTGAGCTCGACCTTTAATAAAGAAATAGGTCTTTTTATTTATTTTTTATTTTATTAGTAAGAGAATTATTTTTATATAGTTATTGAAATAAATAATATTATAAAAAATTAGAGATAAGAATAATTTTGCGTATAGAATTAGGAGTAAACAATAGAGTTTAGGATTTTATTAGTAGTAAATATGGAATTTCTTGAAGTATGTTAGTAAGAGAATTATTATTTTTATATTTATTGAAATAAATAATACTATAAAAATAATATTTTGGATGATATTTACATACAATTGGTCATTCACCCATATATATTTAGAGGTGCAACTTGGGCGGGCTAACCCAGTCCAACCCAAACTCATCAAAAATTTTGAAATTTGGATTTTTAAATTCACAAATTGGACTCAAATTAGGTTGAATTTTGTCAAAACCCAAATATGTTCGAGTTGGGCTCGGGCTCAATCCGAAGCCAACCCGAAATTTGTTTTTAATTTTATTTTTGTCTCCCTTCCCTACCTTTTCTTTTTTTTTTTTTTTTTCTTTTTTTTTTTTTCACCGTGAAGGAGGGAGAGAGAAAAACTCATGCCCTTGAATTTTTTTTATTTTTTATTTTTTGTCTCTCTCCTCTCTCTTCTTTTATTTTTCCTTTAATTTTTTTCTTAGTTCTTTAATAATCGAAGTAACATAAGACTTCTGTGCTAGTTAAAACTTTTAATATAAATTAGCATGGCAAAGGACTAAGATGCATTTTAGATTTTTCTCTCTCAACATCCGCTTATAAAAGGAGATTATTAAATGGTAAATTATTCTCAATCTATATTAGGGGTGGCAATTCGTGTTGGCGTGTTGTGTTCGTATCGACACGATTACTACACGGACATGATAAGGGTTGATACGAACACGACACGATTATTAATCGTGTCTAAGACCCTTGACACGAACACGACACGATTATTATATATGTAACACGATACGACACGACACGCATAACCTGTTTAATAAATGGGTCAAAGTTTGACACAATACGAAAAGACACATTTAAGTCATTTTCGACATGAATATGACATATTTTGTTAAATGGGTCATTTTTGATACGAACACGACACGTTTAGTTAATTGGGTTAATCGTGTCATAATCGTGTTTATAAGGTCAAATACGAACACGACACGTTTAGTTAGCGGGTTAATCCGTATCGACACGATTATGGCACGAACATGATTAACCCAAACCCTAACCCGCTTATCTCGTGTTGTGTTCGTGTCGTGTTAGCGTGTCGTGTCAAATAGTGTCACCTCTAATCTATATAGAGTTATCATTATAACCTTCACTTTTGATCGGGAACTTAAAAGATATTATCAAGGCGTAGTCCCCTAAACCAATAATCAAAAAAAAAAAAAAAAATTATTCTTTATATATTGTTATTTTCTTAAAATTTTTATTTCCTTATAATTATTAGATCCCAAACAATATCAGAATCCGCAAAAAAAAAAAAAAAAAAAGAAAAAAAAAAAAAAATTCTTATATTATCACAGTTTAAAAGATTTATTTTTTTATATTATTATACCCTAAACAATAACAGAATCCCCAATTTTTTTTTATTTTCCTTATACTATTACCTCCATTAAATTTGTACTTCCTAAGACTCAAACCAAAATTTTATAGTGAGGCAAAAAAATTAACTCCTAGTTGTTCCTCATAGTTACATATTAAACTTTAAATGATGTATAATAATATCCTCTTTGTTTTAGATATTAACTCTTAAAATAAAAAAATTGACCCGTGAAACCCGTTTCATCCTTTCAAAACATTCGGGCTGGCCCAACCCAACCCAATTTCTGATTGAGATTATGTTTGGACTGGGCTGAGTTGGGCCAGCCCAACTTGCAGCCCTATAAAGATGTGCTTAGCGTGTGCTCTCTCTCTACATACGCTCTTTCCCTCACCATCTTCGGCGCAAAGCGCGACTCGTTGATCTGCAAATCCTTTCTCTGCAGTGCACCGCCGCCGTTTCAAGAATGGAATGCGACACACCATTTGATGAGTCGTGCATTGCTTGGTTGGGCGCCTCTTCAATCATTCCCATGGCCGACCCAAAACCTTACACACAATTCTACGTGGAATTACACGTACGGTTCACATATCCTCCGTCCGATTTCATGGACGACGATGATGATTCGGAGGACGATGATGATATTGATCGCTTAGAGTCCGAGGAGCGTTGTATGCAATTTTGGGTTCCGTGTGATGGATTGACGTGTCAAAACAATAATACATGGTCCACAATATCTGATATGCTCCGTGACCTAGGTGTCCCCTTACGTGTTCAGCCTTTTATGATTTCTCGTATCATTCCATCCGCCGAATTATTGGTGAAACAAAATCAAAACCTAATGGTATTGCCCATGGTAGTGTCTATGGATGTTGTGGGCAGTCCAGAAGACAATGATGATGATGATGACGATGATGATGTTGTTGTGGGCCGTCAAGAAGAAGAAGAAGAAGAAGAAGAAGATGATGATGATGCAATGGTGCCAATGGAGTGGAGGCGAGTGCCGGCTAGCGAGGCATCAGTTGAGGCCTTAGAGAAGTTGAAAGTGGAAAATTCAGATAGTAAGATGATGCAGTGTGTGATATGTATGGAACAGCTTTTGGTTGGTTCGGAGGCAACCCGGATGCCTTGCTTGCATGATTTTCACGGAGATTGCCTCGTTCGTTGGCTCGGAGTTAGTAACTTGTGTCCACTGTGCCGGTTTCGGATGCCCACTTGAGCAGCACTACTTCAGGCAGAGTTTCAGTGGATGCCCACTTGAGCACTACTTCAGGCAGAGTTTCAGTGGATGCCCACTTGAGCACTACTTCAGGCTTTGTATATTAGAGTTGTTTCAGGCTATTATGTACATTAGTACTAAAAGCGTTATCTGTATTAACCAATTCATTGGATTTTTGGTTTTTTTTTTTTTGGGTTAAACCAATTCATTGTTCTTGTTTGAGAAATTCATAACATCTGTTCCTTCCTTTCATCTCTTGTGAATGAACTGTGATAATGAATGTCTCGCTTACAGAGAAACCACGACTTGTAAAATTCAAACGACATAACCTGCCTTGGATTTTATTCTGCAGCTTTTACCACCAACCAACAAAAATTGGTTCAAAACTGGATTTAACAATCAAAATCTTGAAAAAACTCTAGTCAAGTCCCAACACAATGCTATAAATGCTCTTGTAACATGTAAATATGAAAACTGAAATGATTCCAACTATACAAACTGCGGGCTCTCTGGTTTCAAAGAAGCTATTCCACCTAACAGATACAAGTACATTTTTTCCTTTTACAATACACAACAATACCCAACAATACCCATATGGGGCAATTTTGCTGCAAATCGAGATTTATCAAATTAAAAGAAAATTTTACATGACAATGAAGAAGTCAAGCTTTATTAGGATCTGTCTCATCTTGCACGTCCACATTGCTCCTTTCTGCAGTAGTGTTACTACAATGAAGCAGCAGATGCTGAGTGGCTGATAAAATCCTTTGGCTATCACCGGAAGAAGTAATGCTTCGGCCATGCCTGCTCCTGCCTTCAGGTATAGAAGCAGATGCCAGAGTCCGTGCACCCTCACTTTCATGCAAGGTAGTAGATGCCATAATGTGTGCACTCTCACTTTTAGGCAAACCAGCAGATGCCATATTAGTGGATGGAGCAACCTCTGCTTCACTGCATTTACTTGCTCCATCTTTCCCGCCAACTACAACAATTATAACAATAATCAGTAGCTGGGAGTGACAAATAACATGCAGAAGGGCAAAAGAAAATATAAAATAAAATGGTTGCTTCCACAACTAAGGACCGATTGTAAATGTATAAAAAATTAGTTGCTTCCATGACCAAGGACTCGGGATTTTTCAATAAAACCAGGTTAGACAAAGGGATCTGGCGAAACTCCCATTTCAGATATCAAAAAGTTAGCAGGGGAGGAAAAGAAAAGTAACAATCTGGTATGACACAAAAAAAAATTTCTAAATCAAACTAAGAGGGGGATCTTGTGGGGAGGAGGGTCGAATAGAAAAGAAACGAAGTCAGAATTGTGGTAAGAAAGACCTGTATGAGTAGTAGTAGCAGTGGGAGCACTTGTATTTGTGGGCGTGGTAGAACTTCCAGTTCCTTTTTTCATCTTCGACTGCAACACAGAACCAGAAACCATCATTCATTAGCTCCACATCTCAGAAATAAGCATTATTCCTTTTTATCACTATAGCAATTATGTTTTGATAATGTTCACATATCAGAAAAGCACCCTTGCAAAAGTTGAGTCAGCTACTTCCACATTTCAAGCAAATATTTGTTCAATTGCAGAGGAACAGCCAAAGCCATCAACCTAATATGCCTGCCTAGCAACCTACCTAATGAAACTGAATACTAGAGATATACTTCAGTGTCAATAACCCTTGGCTTCAATGGCAAAGAAAAAATAATACGTTTTGGAGTTTTAGTGGTAAAAAATAAGAGACAGATAGCTTTACTAAAACTTTTGGAAAGAAACTCTGTTCCTTAAAGAATGTGACACCACTTATAACACTTCTTTTTACATTTATTTGCACAATGCATCCCAACCTAATACCTCTACAAAGGATAAGTTAGATCAAATATCTTTGCATTTTCTTCACAATACTTTACAGCGACTGAGATATTTGTGCAACGCCCATGCAATAATGTGTAGGCCCACAGGAGAAGCTTCCGTGGAATACTCAGATCAAGCATCCCATCGGTACCCAGCTGAAAAGGTGCTTCTTTTACTAACTGAGATGGTAACATATAGAGGTTGACACCTGATGGGAGCATTGAAGAAGAGGTGTCCCGATAGAAGTTGTGAGAACATCTGAGCAGTGAGGCGGCGGTCTCCAAATCTTGCTCTGAATATTTCTTGATTATAGTATTCTTGATCTTAGACAACAAAGGGTTCCATTTTGTTTCAAGATTTTTTAGATGGGTTGGATCCTACTCTGATGAATTCCACAATTCACTTGTTTGCAGATCAACAAAGAGCACCTGGCTGTTTTCTGATTCACTATCTAACAGATTATGGACTTGGGCCTCATTTGAGATTCCGGAATGTAGTGGAGTAATTAAGGCCAAGTTAAATACAAGAGATCTACACAAAGCAACAGAAACATGCTTATAAATTTTAGCACTATTACTATTTGACAATTTTGGATTCTTGAAACGCTTCCGTATCTTCTCATTTATTGCTTCAAGTGTTTCCAGTCTGACATTTCTCTCTAACAACTGGATATATTGGTAAAGATATCTGCAACAAAGGAGTAGAAAATCAAAAAAGTTTGTAGAACCATGCGATTACACGTGAGTGGACAGTGGGCACTTAAACAATTAGACTTCAAACACGTAAACAGCCTCAGGAGTGCATTACATTCATGTGAATCAGCTCAGTGATCAATTCAGAACACTAGAATGACCAAATGCTAGGAATAATCCATAAGTTGGGAATTTAATTTAGTAGTATAGGGCAGCCAGAACTAAACCAACACAAGCAACAAAAAAAAAAAAAAAATGACCAGTTCAAGATAGCACAACGGATTAAAAAAAATATGATAGGGTTATGGGCATAAAAGAGCCAAGCTAAGCCAAGTACTAAAGTGTAAGGTACAGCTAGTTGGCAAGGACAAGTTTTGATATTAGCTCAAACTCAGCTAAACTTTTGGTGTCCAAAATCAAAGTCAGCTTCTTATGCAAGACGTTCAACTCGGCTAGGCTCTATTTATTGGCAATTACATGTCTTACATTAATTTCCAGTTTTGTTGGCATGATACAATAGGTTCAGCATCTTTACACTTCACAATACAAAGTACAAAACCAAAGATGACAAAGAAAATTGAAAAGCCAAAAGCCCCACAATAGCCAGATAACCATGTCACATTCTGTATTGTAACAAAATAATTATGGTACTAGTTCAAATGACATGAAATATGGCACAATTCTAACCCATAAACGATGCAACTATCAAGCTATCCATGCTTGATGAGCACTCAAGCCTATCGAGTCAAGTGCACCTGTTAATTGAGATTGGCGTGTTGCAGTGACGAGCTGAGGGTTTACTCTCAAGCTCAACTCGGTCGAGCTAGTGAACAAGCTCTTGACAAGTTGAGCTCAAGCTGAGCCAAGTAGCTTTGATTCAATTGCCATGCTGACGTGGGATGGGGCGACGCAATTTAAGGGGAGAAGAAGACACATGTTAACATTAAGAGTAATATTAATGAAGAAAATTTTAGAAGTACCTCAGGAATGATTCATGGTACTGATATATTTGTGATATATTGAATAATTTGCATAAATTTCAGGTTCAAAAAGAAATTTTCTCAGCATGACATACCCATATAAGCTGCTCTCTGATAATTCTGGGCACTTGATCTCAGGCAAACTGCATATCTCTGACCATAAGTTCATCTGTTCCATGAATAAAGAGAACATTTTTTTCTAGAATATGCTCAGGAGGGTTGCTTGCAGCACCATAGCCAACAGTCTCGGTTCGATGGACGGATGAAATTAGGGCTTTAATGTACCTCCCAAGAGTTACTGGAACTAGATCTTCACGGCACAAGGAGAACTGGATATACAATAGAGATAAAGTATTAATTGTTTTGATGGTGAACGCTATCAAGAAACAGGATGTTTAGCTATAGCTGATTTCCATGTAACAGTAGAATGGTAATGACAGCCTCATTTTCTTGGTAAAAGTTTCAAAGACCAAAGTTCCATCCATAGTCACTGGCAGATGTGTTGGGAAAGGGCAAAACAAAAAAGCGCCATGGCCCTAAAAAAAGTCCCGTGACTTTGGATCTTGTAGATCCTTTCTAGTCTATCTACATTTTATTTTTATTTTTTATGACAGTCTTTGGGCACCTACGGCAGGATCCGTCATCTGCATATCTGCTACCGTGCCCCCCAATTCCTGCCCTCTTCCAATAACAACAACAACAACAACAACAAATAATAATAATAATAAATAAATAAATAACAAAAACTGCAATCATTATAATATTTTAACATACCCCGTGCCTAACTATAGAAAATCCTACAACATAAGCTCCTCGGTTAAAGTTGCAAGGGAAACCATCATTTTTTTATATTCCCTTCTGACCATGTGATTCTTTCAAAGTTTCTACCAATAATCCTTTTCAAACACCATTTCGTCCCACGTTTTCCACATTTCTTTTAGAACTTCAAAGTGTGGTCAAACTTTTACATTTTGCCTAAGGTTCAAAGTTTCAAAAAACAATTTTTTATAATTAGACACTAAAATTAAGTCACCAGCAATAATTTTGTTCCACTTCATACTTTCTATAAGTAAATTTGGAGGGAGAGGGGGAGGAGATAGCATCATATTTTCTCTCCATTTTTTATATGAATTATTAAATTTATTCAAAATTTTCCTTTTAAAAAATATAAAAAAAATTATCTTTTTAACTCTCAATGTAGAGAAGTTAAAGTAATTCCAAAAATATAAATATGCTTCTTTGACAAAAGTTCCACTGAAACACCAATTCTCTGATAGAAATGAATCATGATTGCTAAAGTAATAAATGAACTGTAAAGAAAGCCATCTTTCTTTATTTGGGTGATTATAAAACTACATATTGCTTTTCTTCTGCTCCAAAGAGCAATGAGAACACTGAATCCACCTTTCGAAAGAAAAAGGCCTTAGATGTATTTTGTCTGGCAATATTATTAACAGTACATGCAATAAAAATTAGAGTACTCAAATTTCAAAAGGATTGACAAGTTTGTATCCTCTTATCCACCCTTATAGAGATATAAGCTCCGTCAAGGGTACAGATGTCTCCGGTCTCCTCCAACAGTTTCAAATAGAGCGTTTTTTTATAAAATTTTTACTTATCGAAAAAAAAAAAAAAAAACAGTTTCAAGTAGAGCAGAATGTACTTTCCAAATACAAATGATGAATTTACGAGAACTCTCGGCCAAGTTAACTTCGAGAACTTTTCGGTTCCAGAAAGACCTGGTGTTTTGCGCCTGTAATCCAGATTAGGAAAAATAAGCTGGTTGCCTATTACATTATATTTCAGGAGCTAATTCAAGATAATCGCAAAAAAATATTACTAAGCACCTTTGTTCACTTGTGTAATTAAGCACCTTTTTTCATCTTTGCTTTTGTATACCATTGAGAATGAGTTTATGCACCAAAGAGAAATAAGAAAATAGTTCTCCTACAGCAGTAAGGTATACTAGAATCACTCCAATCACCGTTGGAGCCTTCTAAAACAAAATTATGTCGATCAAGACTTGTTACAGTAATTAAAAGGATTGTCCCTTTTGTGATACAGCCAATAATGACCCTTAATCTTCCCTAGACAAAATTTAGAATCCCCATTCAACATTAGTAACACCCTCTAAATTACCTAACTAATTACTTAGTAATTCCAAAGCTTAATTACTACTTTCTATTAAAAAAACAAGATTCAAGACACTTTCTAAGACATCACTAATTGCATCAGTTTAGATTATTCTAAAGCATTTGAAATGAGTTTATTTGTTGCAAGAAAAAAATTGTTTCTAGATTTCAAGAATGATGTAATCTTCTTTCCCGTGATAGTGAGTACAAATTTTTCCTTTCTAATTACGTCATATAAACAGAATAAATTACTTCCCTATGCCTGTGGTGGTCAAACACAGTCATAATAGCTCCTTGACTATTCCATCAAATCAAAATTAATTATATTCATTAACTTTTAATTGCCAAAAATACCTACATAAATAATTTGAGGGGAAAAAAAAAGCTTTGTACCTTCCTTTTTTGACCATATTTTCAATCTCCCACATGTTAATTGTGAAGGAAGAGCGAGTTGACTTAAAGCAAAAGGAAAGTTAATCCTTTGCTTTCTCCAGATCTTCAGTCTGACCCCTTCTGTACAGCCCTTGAGCAAGCATATATCTGGCCTTATGAAAATGTTTAAGGTCCCCTTCCACACAAATTTCAAGAGCAGAGAGGCAATCACTGTAAAGCATATTCCACGCATCTTCCAAATGATGAGAATCCACTTGCTTTCCATCCTCAGGATTTGCTTGAGTCCTAACAAGAAACATCCTTATAAAAACTTAAGTCATATATCTTCTACTTTGCAAGGTAATAGAGTATCATTAATCTACACTGGTGTCTATAGTTATTTAAGCCTTTGGAAAAGGGGGAAAAAAAAGTTACAAGAGTTAACATAATAATAATGATATGAAGAATAAAGTTTGAAAAATATCACTACATGTGCGATTAAAATTAGAAAGATGATCAACAAAGTATACATGAGAAGTGAATCAGTGGAACACATAAAATGCATCATATAATGCACATAATTAATGTCCCATTTGAATCAAAACAACAAAAATCAGAATCAGTAATTATAATACCATATACATCATAACTGTTTTTATTTCAAAATTTACATTACATTACTATCCACAACCACTCATTTCAACCTTTTGAGCAACAACAAAATCTTTCCTCTATGGTTCGTGTTTGAAAGAAACTAGAATTAAGAATTAAATCTTTTGATTTTCTACATTAATAATCAAGTGAAACTAGGGACTACATCTTTTGATTTTCTATATCAATAATCAAACAAATTAAAGGGAAATGTCTCGTTGTTGAATTTGTTAGACACAGCATAAACATGTGTAAACAGCGGGTACCCACTGGGCCAGTAGTTCAGTTGCTATAACCTCTCCTTTCTCAAGGGGAGGTGATCGAGTCCCAAAGTGGGCATTTGTGGGTGTGTGTGAGTATTTATCTAAAAAAAATTATTGTAAAAAGTGGGTAGCTGAGCTTGCCGAGGCAATGGCTTGGGAACCAAGCGTCTCAACTTCAAGCATCGCCAAACTTAATCAGCAGATTGTTTTCAAATGTTTGCATGCATCCATACAAAGTAATTTCAACTCAAATGGACTTGGGATACCATAGCATAACCAAAGAGGGAGGAAAGGTCTTGCCAAATGGGTCCATCCAGTCATCTCATTTTTTATTTCTTTCATGAGTTTAGTTTGATTACGTATTAAGTTACATATGGCCAGCAGAAATTATTGACATAACCAAAGAATTAACTGGTCAACTATAGAAACTTCTCATTAAATTGTCTCACAAACCTGCCCTGACGACTGGCTCAATACTCTGAAGATCAACCTCTTGAAGCTGTCCAAACCTATCATCAAGCGAAATACAAGCCAAAAATGTGATAATTTAAAATCACCGTCATAAAGATCACAAGATAGCCCGCAGAAAATACATGAGAAACATAATCCATCTTTAGCATCGGCAAAAGGCTATGGTCCAAATCGTTACATAAAATAATGGTAGTTCACCATACCAAAATAGTTGCCAAACCAGACTATAGTCAAGGGAGCGTACCACAAATAATGAGTAAATAAGATAAACTTTCAAGGGACAATAGTGCCCCCTGCTTCAACTTAGAGTTCAGTAAACATCACTCGGTACGACACAAATAGGTTATCAATCAGTATTGCAGTTCAAAAAAATAATAACGAATGCTGAAATCTAACGAGATGGCAAGCCTATGTTCCTACTGTTGCACAAGTTTTCCTTATACAATCTAGGGATAATTTCACTTACCTCCCTTGAGGTTAGGCCTAATTACAGGCACTACCCCTAACGTTTTGAAAATATCACTCACCTCCCTCCAATGTGTTCGGTGTTGGTTTCCGGTAGAAATTATTGTTAAATAACTAAAATACCCTCTAATATTATATTAATATAACATAATATAAAATCTATATGTGAAATGACTATATTGCCCAAAAATAAAGTTATATTAATATACACAATTACATATACACACTTCCCACCATGTATACATACACAGTTATATACATACACAGACAACTACCACAGATGGTGGCGCCGCGGCCATAACCACCACCATCATAATCATCACCACTGGCGGACTCTTCCCCTCCGACGACCAACAAGACACTACCATCCACAAGTGAAGCCAACGGACAACCCAAAATAAGGAGACTGAGGAAGAATAAAACTTGGTGGATCCAAGAAATTTTGAGAGAGAGAGAGTGTTTCAACTGGGTCAAAATTGTGTATAGGGCATATATCTTGGTCAGTCTTTTGTTAGATACAAAGGTAGGAACGCTACTCTGGGTCGAAGTAACTAGGCCATAGAAAAGGAGATGTTGTGGACCAAACATAAGCCACCACCAGAGGAGTCAATTGTCTTGAAATCTGACTCACAATCTAACTTGCATCTAGCTCCCACTCCAAACTCAAGTGAAAGCCGCAACGGAAATGGAAAGTGAAAGCCGAAACGGAGACGAAAGCTCAAGCTTCTACAGGCGATGTTGGGATCCAACGCGAAACAATTCTTTGGGTATCTAGGACAATTCTCCCCAATCTATATATAGATATATACATGTGTAGGTAGGGCAGAGCAGAGCAGAACATGAACATTCGCCGCCTCAATTTCGCCGACATGGACGTGATCACCGTAATATTCACTGGCGAAACTCCTGCTCGGATGTGAATCCGAATTCAGAAACTATAGCGAGCTCGACCGGTGAAACGGTTCAAGTCGCCGATCAACTGAAAGCAACGAGACTTGTGGACCGATGGCGATTTAACGACGGTGAAGTAGTTGCTCTTCTAGTACTCGTCCAGTTCGTCTCGGTCGTCGTCACAGGGATGATGTTTCCGCAGAAGACGATATTGTTGTCGATTGGGCTGATTGTGGAGTTCATATCGATGAAGAAATAGGTCTTGATCTATGGGGGTTTTTGGATTAGGGTGCAGCCGCGGCCGGCAGAGCTGAGGAGGAGAGCTACTTTGCCGGCGATGAGGGGTTTCCATAAATTCCGGCAGCGCGACGAGTTGCAGCTATGTATATAGGCCTATATATATATATATATATATATAGAATGAACCAGTTTTTATATGGGGATATATATATAGACCAATATATATTATGTACAAAGAGCCATGGTTGTAAAATAGGTTTTAGAGTGAGATGTGGATACAGAGATTGCTTTGAGGGTATATGAGTAATTTTAATTCAAAAGCAAGGATGAAAATGTCTTTGTAATTATAATAAGGGCAAATGTGGTATTTCATGCTAAAAAATGGCTGACATCATAGAAAACCGGCGTTGACCGTCACCGGAAGGGGCAAAGTGTTACCTGAGAGCTAACTTTGAGGGAGGTTGATGTAATTATTGAAACGTTAGGGGTACTACTTGTAATTAGGCCTAACCTGAAGGGAGGTAAATGAAATTATCCCTACAATCTACATCACTCCGTATGACACAAATAGGTTATCAATCAGCATTGCAGATCAAAAAATAATAACGAATTATGAAATCTAACGAGATGGCAAGCCTATGTTCCAGTTGCACAAGTTTTCCTTATGCTGAATGATTCCCTCTTCTGCTTTTCTCATTGGGTGAAGAAGATACATTCTAAATTGAGCTGAATAACATTAGACATGAACACACACCCCACAAAAGTCACTCAAGCTTTGCATTTGACATCAATTATAAGTAAGAAATTCCAATTTATAGAGTAAAATTAAAGTTTGACAACTTCAAAAGTATCAATACCACTACCTAAATCTGGATTGAATCACGAAGCTTCAATTCACCACTCAAAGCACCCAAAAAAACTACAATATATGAGTCTATTATACTCAAATTCATCATATCCAAATTGCTTCAAGTTGCTCGTGAACAATATCCATTACATTTTAATGAAAAATCCACCAAAATTTCATGTATGATGATGCAATCAAGCATGCTTTCTAACACTCAAATCACATATAATTCACACACATATATATAAATTCATATACATACATATACAGACACCCAAAAACCCACAAGAGATAGGTGAATACCAGTCTAGCACTTGTCGAATTTTGGGAGCAATCTCTTCAACCTATGGACACAGAAACAGATATATAAAAACAAATATATATATGTGTGTGTGTGTGTGTGTGTGTGTGAAATTGTGGGTCATGGTAGTTTACCTCACCTGGGGGGAGAGAGATGCGAGCGGTTTCAGCCAAACGAGGCACATCAAGAGGCTCAAGACCAGACCGAACCGAGTAGTTTCGTACCCATTTCTGTGTAGACGATTTAGAAAAGCTGCTTCTTCTTCTCGAGTTGGAGACGCCATGGTTCGTTGTTCTGAGAAGAGACAAAGCTCTGCTTCCCATTCTGTGGTTGGCAGTAACAATTGACAATCCATTTTTGGAACTTTCAAGTCTCCTAATATAAAAGAACACTTTACTGCCAATAGAAACGACCCTTTCTATCTCGCGCAATATATATTATTTATGTGTTTTGAATTTAAAATTAAGTATTTTTATGAAAAAATGTATATATATATATATATACATATTAGATGGGCATCTTTTAATAATTTATATGTGAGTTGAGACAAATAATCATTATAAATTTATAAAAAATTATATATATTGTGAATTTATTTTCATTATACGAATAGTTTTAAATTTTATGACTCCTTATTGTAGATTTCAAGTGTATTATTGTTCAAAGTTCATTCTAATTGTTGTACTATTCAATTTTTTAAAACTATTATTAATTTATATTGATATATTATAAATTGATGTATTATTACTCATTTTTTAAGAACAAATTTAATGTGAGTATATTAGTAGTGTCTTACAAGAAGAATTTATCACTCTCTCGTACTAACACTAATCATTTTCATCTTGTTGATTTAAGAACAGAAAAGAGTCACAAGACCATCAAAATTTTCAGTGTCACATTTTATCAAACATTAACAAGACAAATCAAAATTTTCAGTGCTTCAAGACCCTACTTCTCTTAGCCCAAGCTCAACAAAATCAAACAAAAATTTGAAATAGTTACCAATAATCAATACTGATTTATTTACGAAAAAAATAATAATAATAAAACAATGAGTCTTAGAAAATGATTCACCGAAAAATACCAAAAATATTTTTTCAGAAAACATTTTACTTCAAAAAAAAAAATTGAAATAGTTATCAATAATCAATACTGATTTATTACGAAAAAATAATAATAAAAAAACAATGAGTCTTGGAAAATGATTCACCGAAAAATACCAATTTTTTTTTTGTTCTAAAAACATTGTAAAACCAAACGGAGCTAAATATACAAATGCTACCATTAATTTTCTGCCATTATACAACACTATCTTGTCAACATCCACAGAAACACATGACATAAAAGAAGGTTATATCTGTTGAGATTGTTCATGTTCACAAAATAAAACAAAAATGTTCAAAATAAAAAATAAAAAATGGTCAGATACAATTATATATATGCATATGTACAAATTTTGTGTGCAAAGATGAGCACCACATTAAAAGTAGAATATTTGTATACGATATAGTACACACAAATCTATCCTTAGAAGTGTGTAACACAACACAAAGATTAAAAGTAAAAGCACTAAAATTTGAAGTTCCAACACAAAACCTAACACATTTTTGTGATTCCCAAAAATTCTTCCTTCTCTTGAAATCTTCAATATGATACATGAAGGGGCAGATCCATCCAGGCCCACCCAATTCTAGTTGCGAGCCCAATGTCACTGCTCAGTCCAAGGAGGAGAAGGAGCCCAACGAAAAGCTTTCCCAATCCATACCAGCGATGTAATGAGTGAAGTCCAAACCGAGATGGGCCCATGTAGCCCAATACGTGAAAGTCAAGAAAGGAAATTAGGCCAAGAATGGGGAAAAGAAAATAGAATAACAACTTTTTGTACCTACTACAATACAGTAGGTAGATTGACATCGTTAGGGTAGATTGTTATCATCTTTCTTTGTTATCTGAATATAATTCTGCACCTAGCAAGTAATAAAAAGAAGAACGTATTTTGTAACAAGACCGGGCTGAGACATCGAAGATAGCTTATGTAATAATTTTACATCGTTTATAGAATAAATTTATATCACTTATATAACAACTGCACTACATTATTTACACAACTTATATTTCATATATTTGCACCACAGCGATGTAACGAATTGCACTAACAATCTACACCAGCACAGGAATGGATCTGGATTCCAAGACTTCAAGCTATGCTGACCTTGATAACATCAAATTAACCCAATTATGTTCATTGTTTTCAAAGAAATTCTTACCCATAAAATAAAACAAATAAAATAAATAAGAAAAAACAAATCAGTATTTTGCAACACAATGTTGCTTCAATTGTTTAAAACAGATTGTGATTTTATGAAACAGTATTATAATTCCTGCCAAATGAACTCCTCACCTTGTATTGCATCAACCACAATAAACCATTAAGCTATCAAAATTGAAATTTGTTATAACACAATGCTAAATATATAGGCATCACAACTATAATAAGAACTGGAATTAAAATAACAAGTGTAGGAAAAATATTTTTTTCGTTTTTACACTCGTGGCACCTTATCAAAACACACTAGTTTAAATAAATAAAAAAAACCAAAATTCTTTACAGAAAAAACATTTCTCCATATAAATGTACATCCAATTACAAAAAGAACACTAGGACAGCAAGGAATTAATATAAACATTCTGGTTTCGAAAAGATCCTGATCCTGTTAGTGTTGATAGGGCATTGACATGAAAGCTCCATGAAAACCATATGGCACTCTACATGGCACCATAATTTTGGCCACGGGCTCACCGGCAAAGTTCTTCGTATCGATTATATAAACCTGCAAGAAATGTGTTTAAATCAGTGTAGCTTTAATTCAACATGAAAGGTTATCAAACAATTGTTGATGACAGAAAGGAATTACCCAACCAAAACTAACATGGAGTGAAGTAATTAAATATGATTTTAAGAAATTTAAATATTCAAAGTGAAATGGTAGTATATAATAGAATAGAAAAAGAAAATTTATGTAGCCGAGATCCCATCCATGTGGGAAAAAGGCAAGGATGATGATTAGGAATGAATTAATTACCTGAGATGTACCGGTATCTTCATTATAAACAAAAGAGATGATCCAACCATCGTCTTCCTCAGTTGCTCCGCATTTAGGGACAAATGTAGCTCCAGAGCAGAAGGTATTCTTCTCAAATTTATGATATTCGACCTTTATGGAGTTTTCACAGTGGAAGAAATCTTTTACCACATAAAATCTGGATTCTGGTTCTCCAAAGTAAAGTTTGGCTAGTCCACCATATTTGGCCATGCCTATTAAATCAAATCAACATACTATTTTAAGTCAAACAATTAACAATTTAAATTATGAGTCATACTTTTTTTCCCAAGGGTCATTGTTTCTAGATTACCTGAGGCAGAGCTCGCGCTAGAGTCAATAATCTGAGTGTAGCCATATTTGTTTTTAACACCCGTAAAATTTTCATTAATCATAGGAAAATCCATGGAGAATTCGGTTCCAGTGAGATTCTTTTCCTTGACCTCTCCATTTAGCATGTTTAATCTCCATTCATAACAACGGGAAAATAAAAATCCATCTTGTGTAGAACTGTCATCATTTTCTCCAACTGAACTCACTGACTTAAAACCTCTTGAAAACCACTCAAATTTGTTCAAACCATGATCAGGTCCTGGTACGATTGATCCACGAGCTCTACATGCCCACACTACAACCTGTTCTTCATCATTAAAACATACTTTTAAAAATGTGAATCAATTATTGGTATAAATTATTATTTTCAGTGGCATGGACTGTGTGAAAAAAAGATGTTAACAATTTGTACTGTGTTCTATTTTTGGTGGTTACCTCATCACCATCCTCATAACAGTTGAGAATGTGAAATGCACAACTTGGTTCCACCTCGAACCACAAAACTGATTCTGCATCACCATAACGAGGCATTACTCCAATCCTCGCATATCCTTCGTTGTCATACCTTATCAATCTGCATATTAAAGTTTAATATTTCAGGCAATAATTCGAAACCTCATTTTAAAGTTCTTTGAGAAATGATTTCAAAAGTATGTACTCACGGGCCTCCTCTAATGAGTCGGTTTATGTCTATAGTTAGTGGAAAATCTATTATCACATTGTATCTGCAAACCATAAAACCATATTAAATAAGTTAAATCAAATTGATGGAAACCTCCGGAGGCAAATACGTTGGATTATTAATTTACCTCTGAGTAACACCTATATCGTGGCAAACGGTGCACCTGTTGAATTTGAGATCCACTTCATGTACTAATTTCTTTCCGTCAGCTGAAATGGAGAGAGGAAAACAAAAAACATTGGAATGTAAACACGTGTTGCATAGTCGGTCTCTGTGATCTTGCTTTAAATGTTAGTATTTCACTAAAACAAGATTAGAATATACCTGAAATCACTCCCAGTTCGAAGTATGGTTTCTTCGCATCAAATCCCATTAAGACTAGCTCCCCAGTACCTGGAGCTTTCTGCATGTAAAGTTGTTACTTGAGCAAAATTATTAAGTTATTTGATATAAAATTAAAGATTATAGAGCTTGATGAATTAAGCACCTTTGGGTGGCTAGTGAATGGTCGATTCCAAGATCCATCAACATCCCAATTGCCTAAAGTTTCTAGTGTAAGGATGTCTATCTCTTGAGGCATATGATTCTCAGCGATTGAGTAGAACTTCCCCGAATGCATGAAAACATTGGTGTTGCTAATGTATTTGTTTACTTTTCCAAATCTTAACTGAAACATTCAAGAACAAATAATAGATTATGGTATGCCCTAAATTTCCATTATCTATGTACTTGCATGTCTCACTTTTTGTAGAATTTAGCATTCCCAGAACTAGTTTTTATTTTTTGTAAGTAGGAATTTTTTTTTTGCTGAAATTTGGCAAAAAAGTCTGCAAATGCCAAGTTACTCTGTCCAAATTATAGATATTTGGCCAAATAATATGTTTGAATACTCCAAACATTATTTTAGTCCAGAGTCTACTGGCTCAATCTAAAATAGATATATGACATAGTTAAATTAGGATAAGGATACTACATTGTTGGGAGAATCTGCTCACCAAATTTAGTAGATAAGCTGCCAAAATAGCCGGCGTATCACCTTCAATTGCTGGAAGAAAAGATGGTTTGTTTCTTTGTCTTTCTAACTTGAATGTCTCGGTATGAACATGTTTGTTGTTATAGAAAACAGTCCAGCTTCCACCACTATCTTTATTAAAATACAAAGCATGAAGCATTCCTTCTCCTTCCACCCAAATGTGACTTGATCTTCCGAACATAGATTTTGTTGATTTTAATCCTCCGAAAAGAGGGTTTGGGCCTGCAAATACAATACAATTCACATGTTAACAACATTTTAACATAGTTTACAAATTTAACAAAAATTTATTGTTAGGCCTGCAAATATATTACAATTCACAACATATTAACATAGTTTACAAATTTATCAATAATAATGTTTATGCCTGCAAATACATTACAATTCACAACATAGTAACATACGTTTGCAAATATATCAATAATTTACTGTTGTTTTTTTGTTGTTGTTATGATTTATACTAAAAAAAGGTCGCTTTGTTTGACACTTTTACTGTCAACAATTGGGCATCAACAAATGATGAGATAGAACTATAGAAAGCGACACTAACAATTTGTGTGTCATGATATTTTCAAAGTGAATCGAAAAGTACTCTGTACTCACAAAAAGCCAAAAGGTTTATTTTGTAGGTCAAACTTATCTTAACATAAATTAATTACATTCCATCCATTTATATTTAAACATTTCGCCCTCTATATTATGCCATTAGGAGGGATATGTTACATTGCAGGTCAGAGTTTAGATTTTGTATTATCAATATGGACGTTTGCCTACGTTAAGTTTTCTCAGCAAATGTTTAGATTCGTCCTAGGCAATTCATGTATTAATATTATCCATTTTCTATCATTATCAATGCTTTCTTGCTGTCTCACAAACAATGTAGCCCTCCCTTTTGTCTTCATCATTTTGTTCTACTAATATTCTTCGACCAAGCAACGGCAAAATATAATAATCCAAATAGTGTGAAGATTAAAAAAAACTTCTGGTGCATGGACTCTTTAAAAGTAATGAAGTACCCGTGCCGGACACATAATATGGGCATAGGATATGTGTCCAACACTTTTGGTTAGACATGTATTTAAAAAACATATCCAATCATTCAATTACATTATATTATTACTTTAAAAAGAGTTAAATACCTATATTGAACATTATATTAGATAAAAATATTACTTTATTTTAGAAAATAAAATAAAATAATTAATAAAATGAATATTTATCCATGTCCATGTATCCTTTTGTTTGGAGATTTAACACGTCGTGTTTGACACCTATACCCGAGTCCATGTAACATAGAAATAAACTATATCCTACTAGTTAAGGAAAATATGTTATTCGAAGGACATTATTATGTACCATTTCTTATGTAAACACCTTCCGAAAAATCATCTGGAATCCTCCCATCAATGTTGGTAACATGAAAAGCTTCTCCCAACTCTTCGACCGGAGCAAAGTTACTCTGCTAGTATAAATATATAATTAACAACTAACCAATCAAAAAATGACCACATCATTGTATTTAAATTTCGAAACAGAAAAAATGGCATCCCAAACATTTTTATTATAATGAAAGAGTAATGCATAACAATGGCACCTGGGATGGGAGCAATGGGTGGTCATTGAATTCGAACAAGGAGTCAACAAAGGCATCCAATAGTCTCACAGAAGTGTTCTTGATGATTTCAGAAACACTGATTCGCAGAGGAATTTGCTGCAATTCTCTCAACAATGGCTGCTCATTGAAACCAAAAGTATTTTAATATTAATAAATTTATGCATTTATAGCAATTTTAAGATTGTTTTCAGCTTAACATCTTAATTTATCGTCATCATGAGAGAGAGATGTGCCATAATGAAGCTAAGATTAAGCAGATAGGATTGAACTTGAATTGGAAATAAATTCGTTTAATTTGGAGAATGGGGGTTTACATGTCCAAACTCCAAATATGAGTGTAAATTTGACAATTCTAATACTTAGAGTTGATAAAAATTTGCATATATACTTGGGTCACTGAAGATTTAACTTGTTGAAAAGTGAATAAAAAAACATCTCTGCATTTTAATGGGCTTGCATCATACCACAGAGAAAGCTATATGTGTGTGTGTGTGTGTGTGTTATGTAGAGAGAGAGACTTAATAACCTTGAAAGTAGAGGACAAAGAGGTCTTGAAATAATCGACTCTGCGTGAGATTGAAGGCCTCTGGACACAGCAATTCACTTGAAATTCACAAGTTGAAATGGCCATTTCTCTCTCTCTCTCTCTCACACACACACACACGCACAGAGGTCTTGGAGTGATCGAGTCTGCGTGAGATAGAAAAGCTCTCTCTGTGATCATATTTGAAATTTTTAGTGCAGACTTTATTTATAATAGGCGTCTGTCTCTTTATCCGATACTATCGAAGCATCTTTTGCTTACCAATGGCTATTTTGGTCAACAACAGTACGTCCTGATGGTAACAACTCACAACACATTCTGATTGTACTTATCGAGGCAAATGAAATGAAATATTCCATCGCTCACATTTATCTAGCGTGTCCCCAATATTATAGTATATGGATTTGCTTTCCATTATAAGAAATTTGCACTTTTTTGTGAGTAAGTACGTTAAATATCGCATTATCACTCAATTTTTCATTTTAAAAAAAGAAGTGATATTTATTCAATAATAAATGATTAAATGCAGAGTGTTATTCTTTTATAATGTTTGTGAATTGAGATATGTGTTTTTCACTAGGTATTCATAGTTTGATATTTTGGTGTTCGTAGCGAAACCACACCAAATTCATCCAAACTTGATGGTTAAACTCTATTACGATTATGTTATCGTAGGAAAGGTCTTGTGAAAAAATAGCTTCTTTCAGAATCTATATACATATATAGAATATATTGGAAATGTTAATATTTCTTTTCAACCAAATTGCAAGAAACTTCAAGAAAAATTGAGAAGAAGAAGAAGAAAAAAAAAAAAAAAAACTAACATAAGAACAAAAATAAGAAGTCAACATTGAGAAGCATCCGACCTGTTTGGATGAATAGAAAATTCTTTCACAAGTAAATATAAATTTTTTGTCATTTTCATAATTTTGTTGGATAAAGACTTGAATACCAAAAAAAGTTCGAATCACATTTGGCATGCGTATGTATCACAACTCTTCTCTGTCTAGTATATATTTTAAGTTATTCCTCTTGCATCATATTGTACGTTAATTGTACCTTTTCAGTTGACTCTAATCAATTTTTCTGATTTATTCTCATTAATTATTTTCCATGCACATAAAACTTAACTACAAGTTTATCCAAGTAGAATATGTATAATAACTCAAAGGAACTTTTAATTCTGAATGGATTAAGTATTTATTCAATTAAATGTGTTTGATAATTTTATTTGAATATCATTAAAAGTGATAAGCCTCACTTAAAAAGAAAACAATTTAAGTAATACTTCTCATTGAGTGTTTATTAATTACTACTTAAAAATTTGTTAGCAAATCATATATCTAAGGTTGTGGTTGGTAATTCAATTCATCACTTAATTCCAAACAAATTAAGGGCTTGTTCGGTTAAGTGAGTTTGAAGTGAAAAAAAAAAAGTGTATTTGATAACACAAATTGAATAAAATTTTAAGTGATAATAAATTCATAAGCTAAAATATTTAATTTTTTTTTAAAATATATCATTTAAAAAAAATCTCAATATTTGTTATTACATAAAAATTTCTGCATTTAAAATTTAAGCCATGAAATATTCAGTAGTTAATTTTGTGTCTCAGTCATGTCTTACTCATTGCAATCAAAGAGCATCATTTTGCTTACTAGATGAAAATGGACATTAATTCTAAGAAATAATAAAAATATATTTTGGTCAAATTTTATTTCATGACCCACAATGGCCAATTTGAACTAATATATATATATATATATATATGAAAAAGACAGCAATTTTGCCTCTGCCGCACGAATTTTCCATTAATCGATCCTATATATATATATATATATATATATATATATATATAAAAGAAGTCAAAATTGAAAATGAAAAGCACCCAATTGTTTGGATCGATTAATGGAAAATTCGTGCGGCAGAGGCAAAATTGCTGTCTTTTTCATACTTATATTTTACGGTTATTCCTATTGTATCGTATTGCAGGTTAAGCACACCATTTCAGTTGACTCTAATTAAATTTCTGATTTATATTCTCATTATTTTACATGCACATTCAAACAACCATATAGAGCTATATATGAGTTGCCTCTTGCAACAGTTTTGACTTTTGTCCGAAAAGCTTTCACTTGAAAATTTGACAAATAGGGCATAATATATAGAAGCACAAAGAGAATTGAAAGAAAAAAACAAAGAAGCATAAAATGGCTAAAATAATAATACATGATCACATACAATTACATCATTTATCTCTTTTACATATATAATTATATATATATATATATATATATATGTATTAAAGTAATATGTCAATTTTAAAAGTATGTCATTGGGCAAGCATAGGGATGGCAACGGGGCGGGTTTCTCTAAATCCCGCCCCGCCCCTTTTAATTTTTGTCAAGTTCATGCCCGCTCCGAGACTCGCGACGGGTTGAATTTTCATGTCCAGCCCCGCCCCGTTGGGAAATACTGTGCCCCCGTGCCCGCCCCGCTAATAAATTTTTTTCTCTCACTTTTTGGAACTTAAGTTCCTGCTATATGTGGAAAGACTGGGAATGACACAACATAAATGAAATTATGTATCCCAACAAAAATAAAAAAATAACATGTACATAACATAATTAACAAAAATAAAAGTTTAATACAACTAAATCACAAGAAGTTCTAAGCTCTAACTTCCACTATAACTAAAACAAAAACAAATTTAATACCAGTTTACATCCCAAATTAGGATTGTAAGATATGGGTAACTGGGTAAGTTGCTAAAATAAGTTATTAATATTATATATATATATATATATATATATATATTAAATATAGTTATATGCTTAGCGGGGCGGGGCCCCTAGGATATGTATACTAAACCTTTACCCGCCCCGTGACCCTCGACGGGTACAAAATTTGTATCCATGCCTGCTCCAACGGTATAAAAAGTGTTCCTATATCCGTTATTAACAGGGCGGGACGGAGCGGGGCCCTGGCGGGACGGTAAAAATTGACATCCCTAGGCAAGCATGCTTTGTGCTTACATCATTTTGTCTTATACAAAAGAAAGATGGGTAGTTTGGTCAGATGGAAGCATTCCTGGACATAAGAGTGCACAGACAAAAATTTAACTACTTAAAACTAAATTGTTAAAATTAATCAAATGAGATTCTCTTGAAATCTTTGATGTAATACAACAATAAATGAAATATGCCAAGCAATAAATAATTGCTAGGGGCTATGGTTGTAATCATCTAACTTTATTATCTGAACAAAATTCTTTAACTTGCAAGTCCTAATTATATATAGAAAAAAGTGCCCAAAAAAAAAAAAAAAAATAGGTGAGCACAATCTTTTCATGTGGTATAAAAATGAAATTTTAGTCCATGTAATTTTAAAAGTGAGTAATTTGCACTCTTGCATTTCAGTTCTGATCACTTTTTGTCCATACATTTATCAAACTAACCAATATAATTAACTTATTTAGAAAAGATAAAAAAAAAACAAAATACTTTAAAAGCCCTCTATAGTAAACCGATGCATTACATAACAAATTGACTAAGTGTGTAACTCCTTGTCTGATTAGTAAATGCAGCTAGACACATCTCTCAATATAGTATCCATCTTTCTTTTTGTGTTATTTTATTTTATTTTATCCTGAAGGACTATTCCTTACAAATTTTATGTTATACAAATGAGAATAGATCAAAGTACTAGCTGGGTATAGATCAGACATATAGTGGATTATGACATTAAGTACTCTACAAATAATTATTTCCTACGAGATTTTATTTTTCTCTTGTAAAATGACATTTTTCAATTAATTATATTCAATTCGATAATTATTATGGAAAGAAAACCTATTTATGATATTGTATAATTTCACTTTATCTTTGTCACTCTGTAGCCACGTTAATTTAACAGAAAAGATGAAAGTGGTGGTTTTTTTTTTTTTTTTTTTTTTTTTTTTTTTTTTTTTTTTTTTTTTTTTGGGTTAATTAGTTCATTTTAGTTCTTTTTGCTAGGTGATTGACTTTGTCTTTTATTATCTTTGCCTTTATAATTTTCTAAATAAATAAATAAATAACTCGAATGTGCGATGCAACAAGGGAATAACTTGGAAATAATGAGTTAAACATCATAGACTTGGGAATACTTTTGAAAAAAATAAATAAACGACACAAACGTTGAAGGAGGGTTAGTGCAAGTTGAAATCAGTGTGAACATAATTCAGATAGAACATAAGTTGTGTTCTTTAAAATGGAAGAAATCATATTACATTTTCATTATATATATATATATATATATAATCTTGAGTTTGGTCTATAATAAAAGATCAAGGTCATATCTAACGTAAATTGAAGAAAAATGCAACTAGTAAGGAAATATTGAAATATGTAGGAACTGAATGAATTTTATTTGATTAGCGGATTTAGTTTAAAAAAAAAATAATGAAAAGGAAAAAGAAAACAGATTTGTATTGTTTTGTGTAACAATGCTGTTCAATTGTATTCAAAAGGAAAAGGATAAAATAGGTTAAAGAGATTTGCTTAACCGCGGAGGGGCGGGGGATGCCAAAACACTCCAGGGTGTCTAATTACATTGGGCTTGAGCTTTATCTGAATCAACTTCCAAATGGACCACATAAAAGAATAAGGCCCAATGTCCATTCAACTAGGCCCAAATATTTTTGCAGAGGATATAAGTTCTTTCCTTTGACATGTAAGCATAAATTCAAATATATATGGATACCTGCTTAAGACCTTCAGACAAGTTTTATTTATTTATTTATTATTATTTTTGTCTGACAATAATAAAAATCTAACCCTAATTCAAATCTCCATTTAACAACTGCTTCATTGCAAATTTATTTTTATTTTATTTTATTTTATTTATTTATTTTTTTTCTTTCGGTCATGCCCATAGCAACACAAGTTTTTATTATTTACTATAGAAACTTGAACCCTCACAACACCACAAGTTTTCAGAGATATACTATGGCAGTTTTTATTTATTTAATTTTATAACGGCAAAATATATTTATTCAGAAGCAAGACCATACAATACAATCAAATTGAAAGCACTTAAGTAGCCAA